TTTAATTTATTTAATATTGAAATTGTCTAAAAATTTTCATTATTTTAATTATTTTGTTTTTCCATTTTTAACTTCAAGTTTACGTTCACTCTAAATCGTAAAAAATTTATGCAGTTTTTGAATATGTATTTTTTTTTTTGCAATCATATTTAATGTTTCCTTTAGTTTATTATTTAAAATATTTATTTAGTGCAGTTATTGAATTATATATAATGTAAATGCTTAAGCTTACGAACAATATATGGGAGTCTAACACGTCGATGCCTTTGACGCAATAGTCATAAATAATAGAAACGTTTAAAAATTGAAGCGAAAAATGTCAAAAATATTAATTCATGGATGGATAAATGTGTGAAAATAAATTATAAAATTTTTGTAATTTTTATACTTCAATAAAACATGCAGTTTTACAAAAATGCATAAAATGAAATTTTAATAAATATAAATGTCCAACGAATGAACTGAAATGTTCATGTGTAAATGAAAATGGCAATTTAAACTAACATGCATTTAATTTCCTATGTATTTTAGGAAAATTTTTAAATAAATAATTAAAACCTTTGAATAAGAGATAGGCGTTGTACAAATAACTATTAAAAGTTATATTGATGGTACCACATAAATAGATAAAAAATTATAACAACTACAGAAATTGGTAATTGACAGCAATCGGAATTAAAATTTTATTTTTAAAATTTGCATATATTTCCATAGCTATATAAATATTTTATTAAATATAATAATATTGGAATAGGAAAGGATAATTTTAATGCATGGTTTACAAAATGTATAAATCACATCTTTTTTTATCAAATAATTAGATAGAAATAATTCAAAATCTATAAATTCAATAGTGCAACAAAATCAAAGTTAAAGATACATTTCAAAAAAAAAAAAAATATGAAAGATATTTATAAAAAATTTTAGAGAAATTAAAGAGCTATTAAAAAGCTTCCCTGCCCTTCCCTTGGCTTCGTATTGTAAAGTCTCCGACTGGAAGACTTCTATACTCATATCAATATAAGCCTCTTTAACATAACCTAATCTTCTGCCCTAGTTTCTAGACCATATAAATTACAATACAGTTTTGTTAAGTATGAAGATATAGTGCCCTCCAATTTCCTATAATCATTTCTGCTAAAATTTTTTCTACTTAAGGGAATTAATTTATTCATATTATTATTCATTTATTCATTCAACACTTACTTTTATTTAAAAGTAATAGTTTTTATTTCAACTCTGTGGAATTGAAGTCTGCGAAACCTTTTCAAGTTTTGTTCATTAATTCTTTTATCTTAGGACTTAATCGTCCTCAGTAGGACTTAGTCTAACTGTTTTCATATAGGTAAAAGGAGGAGGCGGGTTCAAATACCTTCCTGAAGTTTTGTTTTATACTAAAAAAGAATTTCTTCTGAGAAACTTCTAGTGAGTTTCCTTTAGAGATAATATTAAAATTTTATTTGTTTTAAAGGAAATAACATAATTAGATCTTCAGTTACCTCGCCAAATAAACAACATGAAATAACAACATCGAATAAAAACATGGAGAGATACCATTAAAACTCGGATTACGTTGTAGGAACGTAAGAAAGGAGGTAAACGATTAAAAAGTAAGAAGATGAAAATAATAGTTATTAAAATAGTTTTATATAGCAGTTCGTTGTTTGATAGTTTTAGCTAAACAAACGTAGGCTTATAATTTTCTTCTCCATATAATATATCTGGTATAATAATTGTCAAAGATATGATTATTTGGCTTCTGGCAACAAGCTTCGGAACAAATTGGTGTACATATATTTTATAAGCTACATTATACATATTAAATTTGAATAGCCCCACTTTTGTAGGCTATTAGGTTAATGTGATAATTGTTTAAAACAAAACACCTTGCTTTTATTTCATTATGAATTTTTATTAATTTATCAACAAGTTAAATACGATCATCTCCAGGAACTCATAATCTTCTTCGTTGATCATCTGCGATGGTGGTCTTCGATGGTTATCTTCAGGAACTCATCTACGTCTTCGATGTACATCTTCGATGATCATCTTTGTTGTTCATGTTTGATGGACACCTTCGATGGTTACGATCGATGGTCCTTTTCAGAAATTCATCTTCCTCGATGATAGCATTTGATGGTCATCTTTGATGGTCGTCTTCAATGGTTATCTTTGATGGTCATCTTCGATGGTCATCTTTGATGGTCATCTTTGATGGTCATCTTTGATGGTCATCTTTGATGGTCATCTTTGATGGTCATCTTTGATGGTCATCTTCGATGGTTATCTTCGATGGTTGTCTTCGATGGTTATCTTCGATGGTTATCTTCGATGGTTATCTTCGATGGTTATCTTCGATGGTCATCTTCAATGGTTATCTTTGATGATCGTCTTCATTGGTTATCTTGATGGTAATCTTCAGGAACTCATATTTTTCTTTAATCATCGATAATCATTTCTGATTGTCATCGTCAATAATCATCTTCGATAGTCTTTTTGGATGCTCATTTTGAACAATTTTCGATAATTATCTTTGATAGTCATATTTTCTTGAATAGTCATCTACGATGGCTTTCCTTGAGAGTCAGCATCAGGATTTCGATTGTAAGTTACTATTATTAAAAATGCATAAACGTCGACGTCGAGTCGAAATATAGAGTTTATTCAAAAATATTAAAGTTTTATTATTTAACAAGAAGAAACCTACAGCCAGAATAAATATATATAAAAAACCTTTTTAATAAACAGGTCGAAAAACATATTTAGAAAATTTTATAAAATTTTTCGCAGAAAAATATGCGAACAAAAAAGTCAAGTACGGCTTTGGATCAGTTGGTTAAGGTGCGCTGATTCTGAGCTTCACATTTGGCAGGACCCGAGTTCGATTCCTGGTACTTGCAGTCTCAAAAAATAATTATTTACGAATAATTAAATACAAGAATTATTTCCAAGACCACTGATGATGGGTATTTGGCAATACTCGAAACAGCTGCAGTTGTATGGTCAGCCAAAAATTCAATTAATTAAAATAATATAAAAAATAAATTTTTGTTGTTGTATTTCACTACTGTTCAAAAAAACCTCATTAAAAAAAATTTAATAAATAAACGAATTCTAAAAAATATAATTAGGTATTTTAGAAATTAGAAACTTTATTTTAGAAATAAATTAATTATTAAATCAAAATATAAATATTATTTATGTATTAATTACAAGTTGTTTAAAATAATTACTTAAAATGAGAATAGTTCAATGATATTCGCTTAATTAAAAGTTATTGTTTTGAAACGAACGCAGTGAACCCTACGCCGTTTAGTAGCTCTGAAGTGGATATAATTGCACAAATTGCATAAAGCATTTGTTAATAAATATTAATAAATATTAACACAATTGTGTTGGATTGTATTGACTTAGAAGTACTGCACAAATACTCATTAATAATTAATTTGTTGCTCATACGCAGAGGTCTGCGCTTTCGCAATGCAGTTTTAATTAAGCAAACGCTAATCCGATTCGCACGTTAAGCTGCAAATGAGCTCATAAAAAGTTCAAATAAAATTATATGCAGCGAACAAACAAAAACGACTTTTGCAATCTGATCTGTTGTAACTGAAACTGTAAATACAATAATTATTAACTCTTTTTGTATCTGCAAAATGTTGAATGAAAATGGCAAAACTTACACGCAAGTAGCAGTTTTCACGCTTGACAAGTACATTTTGTGCGATAACGAAACTTAAACCGCTACGACTAGTAAGACGTGGTCCACTAAATGTTTGAGTAGGTTTGTACATTACTTACATACATTAATGATAAATTATTTTATCACAGCAATTTAAATTTATTACTTTGAAATAATGTTTCACAACGTGAAGCCCACACAATAAATTAAATAAAATTGTTTACTTATACGTGAAATCGAAAGCATTTTTGTAAGATCTTTATCCATTTTAGCTTCATTTAAATCTATTTGATATATTCACCCTGTCCCTAAGTCGATAAGACTGGTACCAAGAGATATTTTATCGTTCTATATAGTATATTTGGTCATTTATTTTTGTTAAATCAATATGGTCTCGATAGTGGACACATCAACTAATTTTTCAAAAAATGTTTCATACCCATTGGTCGGAACTACCCTTCTTTTCTTGATCTCAGGTTCTTGGATGATGATATGGAAACTTTTTTCTTAGATCACCAAATTCAGTTTGGACAATAAAGAAAAATCGCACAGAAGCAAATCAGGTAAATATAATGGATTATTAATAATATGTTTGTCTTTTTTGGACAAGCTTGTGAAGGAATACATAACTTAGTCAAAAAGGAAGGAGGGACAAAACCCCTAGCTTAGAAAGACTAAAAGAGCCCAGTTATACTAACACGGAAAAATCTTAACATAGGACCATTCATCTATCAAAATTCCCTCGTAGATTTTGTACCACTAAGAATAGAATCAATCTTATTGGATTGAATCGGCTCATATTGGACAGGGTACAATCTTAACCCTTGGTACTTCTAGTCTCAAAAAATTATTTAATAATAAATATAAGAATAAATATTTTTGCGCTCGTACATAAAATATATTTCCGAAAAGATCACAGATTATGAGTATTTGAATCAGTACCTTTACTCTATTTTATCTGTGGACAGTTTTAAGTCACACTAAGAATAACTGAATACGGGGCTTTATAATATGATGGATCTGATGTTTTTGTATCTGCCTGTGTTTATCAAATTTCGCTGTATTTTTAGGATGCTGGGAGTTGGATTATTGTGACTGTCAATTATATTGAACAGTTTCAGAGCACGATCTTTAATGTATTTTTCGACTGAATCGACTCTCAGATCTCTGTGGATATCCGTTCCTCTTACGTACCATGGGGCGTTAACCAGTTTTCTTAAGTATTTGGTAATTCTTTAAGCAAATATATAAAATCATGTTTGGTGTTACATTTATATCACTGTAGAGGGATTTAGTTAACCTGTACGAAACAGTTTTATAAATTTAAGGTTAGCTACGATTCAACCCCAATAACTAGTAGTTTAAGCATCTTATCTAACTGCGGTATATATAGAGTTAGTTCCTAAATTGAACTTAAGAGTAAAAAATAAAAAGTGACAAAAAAAGAAAAGCAGTATCCTTAAATAAAATCAAAGATAGCTCATGACTTCGGTTATAGACTAAAGAAGGGCTAGAAAGATTAAGGCGCAACATGAAGTTAAGTTATAAAACATGGCTCTTCAATTGAGAGTCATAGGATGATATATGTTTCACACAGAAGCTATTGTAGAAAGAAGACGACACACATATTAATGAAGTGATATTTACCTTATCTATTTATTAAATAAAAAAAAATTAAAAAAGTGTATAAATTCACAGAAAAAAAAACACAATTCAGTTCTAACGGGCATATAAGTTTATGTACATATCGTTTCCATCACGACTTTATATTGTTTTTTTGTGGCACAATTTATAATATTTTTAAATTTTTTTATAAAAGGAGATGAATTCGCTATTATTGCGAAATGAGATTGATATTAAAGATAGTCTTCCAATATATCAATACAGAAACTTTCATTCTTTGGCTTAATACTTTATCACTTCTCTCGGAAATCGATAACTGCTGTTGACTTATTTTTAGCCTTTCTATATTGCTCTTTTCTAAAATATATAAATATATCCAATAACTTTTAAAAACAATATGTAATAATACTCCTTGGATTATATGACGCCTTTATTTTCTCTTTCAGGGCTGTATTTGTAAGTCACCCTCGCGCGGTTACCCCTGGTGTTATGTCCCAAGCGTTTCAATGATTTCATTTTTAACGCATAAAGCGTTGGGTTCTGAGAGACTTAGTAATCCTTCTCTTGCTATATAAGCCACTAGCAGGTTGTGAATTGAATATTTGGTAACAGTAACACTCATAAATAAAAATAGATAATTCCTTTTAAAGACATGTAAAAATTTAAATAAGCGAAACGGGTTTAAAGATATGATTCATTTTCTGAAAGTCACCAACCTTTAGCCAATATTTCGATCGGTTTCGTTTATATAGTTTTCTTTGGTTATTGGAATTCTATGTCCATGGTATTTATGTCTAAAAATTTGTTTAATTTTATATTTTTTCGCCATTGAACTATAATATTGTTACTTATAAAATAGTTTGTCATGAATTGTAATTTCTTATCTAAATTTTTTTATATCACTTTCTTTATCTGATATTATAATGACTGCATTTTATCATCTTTTCACAATCTAACCAGTGCAATATTAAAATTCTTGATTCTATTACTTCATATTTGTGCTACACAATTATGATTTTCATAAAATATTCATATATTTGTTTAATCGAAAAATAATTCCACTACATTAATGACGAATAATGGTTTTATTCTGTTGATCTAAATGAAAACACCTCAAATCATCTCCACTTTGAAGCACCAATATTTCAAAACTTAATTCATTATTGACTTGACCTTATTTTGTCTTCTTCAGCTTTATATCAATGGCAGCAGCCATTAAGGCAATTAAATCATACTGGTCATCATCCAAAAATGTTTTAGAATCCAAGAAAGCTATTGCCAGACTAGCCTGCAACCGCAGACTTTGTTTGTACTGGATTCCTGGCCATAAGGGCATAGAGGGAAATGAGATAGTTGATGCTATTGCTAAAAATGGTGCAAAACTTTCAGAGGACCAAACGAGTGGAGTACTCAGACCTCTGAAACAAATACATAAACTTCTGGACGAGTACATAAAAAGGAGGAAAGGTGCCGAAACTTAACCACCTGTAGAATAGCTAGGATCATGTGTAGACACATATATTAGGAAAAATACACCAAGAATGTTATATCGTCTAGCCGAAGGAACTGTATTGACAGGTCACTGTCTGGTCGCATCATATGCACACAAACTAAATCTAATTCACAGCGATGCTTATAGGAAATACAACGAACCGGATGCAAAGGTAACTCTAGAGCATGTGCTGTGTAGCTGCACGGCTCTCTCGAGAATTCGACAAAAATACTTGGAGGCTGTCAGTTTTACCGTACTGGAGCACATACCTGTGGTTTCTGTTGAAATCCTTATAAAATTCGTTAATAAAACGCGCATCTTAAGTGATGTACATAATCGCTAAAATAAGACTCTGATTTGGTATGAATCTTAATGGTCTACGCGTGACCTTTTTGGTCTTAATCTAATCTTATATCAATGGCATATTATATATTGTGTAATTAAATATACAACACACAAAACAAGTCGTATCATACAACCACTATATATGTTATATATGTATACATTTTAATTTCATAAATAATAATAAAAATATAGATCAAAAATTAAAACGGTGGAATAAGCGTGCGTCACTTTAAAGTGAAAGATAAATTCGTAATTTCTTAGTTTCATTAAATGATATTACCGCATTTTCAAAGAAAAATATTATATTGTGGAAATAGTTACATAAAGGTACCTTTCGCTTTTCAGCGGCCGTAAACTATTTCTTAGGTTTGAAGTACATTTCATGGTCATGGTTTTAATACGCACTCCAATCAATCTGCGATATTATGTTACGCCAAGTTGACGCGTCCCATGCCAGTTTTAGTTCCTGCGGAAGTCAATGAATGCATTGGAAGTACATACGATATAACAAAAGGACATATCGAATTACATTATAAAGTGAAGACATAACTTAACACATATTTTAAGCTTCAAATAATTTTATGCAAAATGTATAATAGAAAATGCAGACCAACTGATGCTACTTATCAGTTTTTGTATAAAAAGCGAAAATACTTGAAAATTGTCTTAGTCACAAATTGAGTTCGGATTAACAAATAACTAAAAAAAGCAGTTCTTCACAATATGCATTTTAAATATTTAATTTATTTCATATATGCATTCACCTTGCCGGCGAAAATTAGGAGCAATGAACGAATGCAATCACAAGCCAAAGGCAAAAGACAATTAGAGCTTGGAGTTTTTGGACATCATGAACTGGAATGCCAGCAACCGAATGGTTGTCTATACGATCCTGGGCACAATAACCAAAATAATGATAATGAGCCCGATTATAATGTCAATGGTGGTCAAGTGGCACAATTACAAGATATAAACACGCATACTCCAACAGCTGGTGTTTATGGACAACACCTCCAGTTGTTTTATCCTAACAGCGACAGTGCACATCAGCCAAGAGTACAATTAGTGTATTATAATCATCCAACAGCTATGGAACCCACACATGCTCAACAAAATTACGGACATGCATTACAACTTCAACCAGTTCAATTTATACAACCAAATCAGCAACAAAATCACCATCACCATCAAGAGCACCCACAGCCACAGTCGTTGACACACAGCCAACATAGTTTACAATATTACCAACAATCCCATCCAGAACCACAACATTATCCACCTTATCATCACGCACAACATCAGCATCCGCAACCACACCCAGAACATCATCAGTATATAGCCCATCAACAGCAAAATCTAGCTAATACTGCTCCACATCGTTTTCCAGAAACTGAACAGTTAAACACGGAAGATGTTAATCCAAATCATTGTGCCCAACAACACACTTCTACACAACATTATGCTCCAATCTATAATTCACCACAATTTGATATAGGTCACCAATACTCACACTATCCACAATCTTACTTACCACAGAATAGTCACTTTCAACCAGTGATACCACAAGGTCGATATGCTCAACATTTTCAGGCACCATTCAAACCTTCACTATTTGTGGGATATACCGATGATGAGAATTATAGTCAAACATC